TGAAAAAAAAACTCTTAACAATCCTTTTAAGACGACAATATTAATGAATATATCAATCTGATTATATATAATATAAAGATATTTCCTGGAGGTTTCCGGAACAAGGAAATATGGAATATTCCTCACAATAAATGACAAAAGAATTCAGACAAATATAGAATAATATACGCACTAAACCGAAATGTTCCAGTCAGTGAGATATCGCTATACAAAAGACGACTAAACAATTGGAACTGAGCGTAAACAACAATAAATGAAGGACAAATCTTCATTTTACAGAAGATTCGAAAGGCGTATATAGGTTGGTCGAAAATGGGCACATTCGTTTCAAAATTGTCAACAAATATTAAGAGTCGTGACAAAAATCATGGGGAACCCATTTTGGGACTGGGGGCATCCGAACTATTTTTTCACAAATCATCGACAAATGGGGCTACATTGTTCAAATCACTTAATATGCTTCAAAGACATTAAAAAAAGACACAGGTGGCCCAATATTTTAAAAATCGTTTAAACTCAGCTATGTTGCGGGTGTTTGACATATCCCAGGATGTCATACTTCAAACAAGCTTTTACTAAACAAAGTATATGATTGGGTAAACCAAAGACCCGAACTCCCAGAACTTAAAGGATGTCAACCGATTCATATGTATTGAATTATTATAGTATAAATTTTAACAATAAACTGTCGAACCTTAGATAAGAAAATAGGTGAACGTCCCTTTAAAACATATTTTTTAAGGAAATATACAAAAAGTTATGATATATTATATGACTATTTCATGAACGTCTCGAGGAAAAACGGTAAAATTATAAACCATAATTATATACCCTCAATCTAATATAGGTTACATTTTTATCGGCACGTTTACAGTGTACGTTATGGATAACCTCTCAAGAGGTCGTGAGTGGAGGCAGATGGAAATGAAATGAATGGAGTTTTACGTCCTACTGTTCTGCACCTTGTGGGTTAATGAAGACGGGCAACGCCATGTAGGGTGCCATGAGGGAAATTTTTGCCAGGACAGCGGCATTAGCCTGCTCTTTTTCAATTTCCAACTGTCGAGGGATCTTTAACGTGCACAGTCTGTAGCATCACTGACAGGGGGAAACCTGGTTGAAAAATCCGAAGGTATTATCTCGACCTATGCGGGGATTGAACCCTGGACCTTCAGGTTAGCGAGCAAGCGTCTAACTCATTGAGCCACCGCGGCTCCGGAGGCAGATGGAGCTCGTTACTCTGGAACACCTACTCTACTAGCAATCGAGACAATGTCCCAAATGGCTACAATGCTTATACCAATCTTAATCAAATAAGATGACTATTTGGTATTTGTCCTGATATTTTTTTGTTTCCGTCCGTTGTAATCTAACAAGTTTTCTACCACAGTCGCGTTTTAATGATCATATTTTTTAACCTATCTATGAATGTTATGTAGACTCGTTTCTTACGAACATGTGACGAATTGTGGGGTAGTGAACCCCAAAGTAGAGCAAATGGTTACTAAATTGTGTTTTTTTTTCATTATTTAGTCTTTCAAAAAACTGGAAGCAGAAAAGTAACACATGCATAAGTAACCTGCGTGCGTATTACGTTTTGTAGCGTTCCCATATTACGTTCGTCATTGTGTAGAATGTAAGAAAGACTATTGTGGCATCACCATGCAAAGTCAAAAAATAAAATCAAAAACAAAACTATCAGATATTATTGTGCGTGCATATAACTTTGTAGCAATTTCAATGTCATTTTTCTCAAATACTTTACGTAAATTGTTTTGTAGCGTTCACTTATTACGTTCGTCATGCATAGTGAAAAATGTAAGAAAAGATTATTGTGGCATCACCATGCAAAGTCCAAAAAAAAAAACAATCAGATATTTTTGTGCGTGCAGATAACTTTGTTGCAATTTCAATGTCATTTTTCTCAAATACTTTACGTAAATTGTTTTGTAGCGTTCCCATATTACGTCCGTCAAACTATGAAAAGAAATGATAGTTCATTCCGTGTAGACTATGTACTTTAACAACTTTTCTATCGATTTTTATTCAAACGATAACAAAAGACTAAAAGAAGTCGGTCAAGGAAATATCGATATATAGAAATAAGTTCAAATCAACAAACGTAAGAAATAATTATTTTTTCTGTTGTTCTTATGAGTTTTTACATACATAATTGATAGGTTCACTGACGTACGTTGGTTCAAAACTGCGGGGAGCTTGTCTCTATTTTATTTGCTTGACGTATTTATGAAATTAAAGAATTTGTTTGGACAATGAAATGAAATAGAGTTTATCGTCCTACTATGCTGAGCTTATTATTAGGGTAGCTTGTAAGGATGGGCAACGCTATACAGTGTGCAATGAGAGAATTTGGACAGGATACAGAATTTGTGTACTCTTTGCCTACAGACGGCGTCTGTCCAGAGCCAACATTTTTTATAATTTTAGCAAGTATCCACGGCTTCCAACAAGATTGTTTATGCCTCGAAACGAACTGTTCTGGCATGGAATTGCCTGAAATAAAATCCAAGTAACAAAAAATAACCGCAAAATTCCGAGATAGCGACGTCTTAAGTGCACGGATTCCCGGGAAATCTTTGAAACTATATATCATGAAATTCTATTGAAATTCCTTTGGATCTAAACATAACCCCAAAATTCCCTAATTCCTGTAATTGTTTCAATCTAATATTCGATTTCGTTGTATTTCCCTTCGCTCATAGTATGTATTGTAAACCAAATTTGCATATGAGCAAAGACAATCTTATTGGCGTAATGATTAACCAGAAACCAATTTCAGGACATTGATTGTTGATAACTTGTTACGCTAATTACTACAATCGGAACCTTAGAGTCACGTTTTGTTCGGATTTACTCGTATCCAACTCGCAAAAAAGCAACAATTTTGGCCCAAATTTTGTCGAGTTGAAAATTGAAACTTTGATGGTAGATTTTTGATACACTCGTTAACTCACATAAAAACTTAAAAGATCTAAATATTGTCTAAATTTCTAAAATCGTCCAAAATGTGCTCTCAAGTCACTATTCTGTGCGAAAGACCAAATTTGTACGGAAGTAGTTGAAATTTACGACCTTGCAGTGTCTTAATCCACTTGGCTTGGGTAATGATAGGAACAATGTAACGATCTAGTATTCATGAATTGAATTCCCATTATTTTGGTAGTTTTTCAGAGCGCAAAATTCCAACCAAGATGTCAAATTTGACCCCAATCCTAGTTTAAAGAAAGCTTGACGTTTGTCAAAGCTAACAGTCGATTCTCACGATTTGATATTGTATGTTGGTGCAGAATTCTGCAGTTTTGAGTGTAGCGAAGGGGATTAGCCAGTGCATGTTGAATTTAGAACAGTTTCGTGAGAGATTCCGGTTATTTTGAGTGCATTTGTACGTCCTACATTTTAGTCAGTTTTTTTGTGCCACTTTTCCGAAGTTTTACTGCCTACTATCTGGCCGTGTTTGGACTACGAAAGACGGACAATGCTATGCTGTATGCATAACATGAGGGAAATGTCTTGGGTTTTTTTGATCAGGTAAATGGGCAGTGGGCAATGAGGGAAATCCTTTACTATCCTGATCAAGTAAATTAAGACAGACAACGCCTTGTTGAGGGAAAAAATGTGTAAAACAGCGACGTGAAGTGATTTAGAACAGTTTGGGGAAACAGCGAATGAAATTCTTACAGTGCAATGGTTAAACCACCCTTGTCGAGCTCAAATGGAGCTTTTATCGTTAAAATGGCCCATTTGTACGCTCTACATGTAATTCTTCGCAAATTGCAAAACACTGCGCAATGAGGGAAATTTTGCTACGCAGGTCAAGCTGAGCAAGAAAACAAACTTCGCCATTAAAATGATACATGTATTATGTTGTACAGTAATGGTCTTATTTGTTAATGTTTATGATATTTTCACCAAAGCCACTTATTTTGTGTTAAAACTGTCCAAACACCACGCTTTTAACATTTATTTTCTTCTATTGTAACGTGTCGCCATTTCCTCATCTTGTACGTTTTAATCCTTGCTAAACAGTTAACATTTGTCTCTTTCTTTTTAATTGGCTATAATTTTGTTCAAGTTACAAAGTGGCTAGTAAAAAAGTTTATGGGACAGAACAGAAGGGAGGGGTGGGGGATTTGGTGAGTCAATACAAAAAAGGAAGAAACAACAATATTTGCCAATTAGGATTAACTTAGGTTCACAAAGGGTCCTGGCATTGATATTTTACGGATGGTCTGTACCCATTTGCAGTAGGGTCGACTTCTTCAAGGTCACCAGTCTTTCACTTGCCGACCGAAATTTGAACCCACAGCTACCATTTGTTCCATGTTACCAATCTGTACTGTAGCATGTCCATTTAGAACGTTTTTGGGTATCTGTTATTGGTTAGATTTGCACAATATATATCACGTGACCAGATCATGTAAATCACATGACCAAACCCTGTCAGATTATTGGTTGATAAGTCATCACGTGACAGAACCATGCCAGATTCGCGCAGATTAAGATCGGCGCGACATCTAGCCCATACCTAATTCAATGGTATGTTAAAGGGCCAAGGTTAGACAACTCGACATCAATCATAAACAATTACAAGTATCATTATAATAGTTGTCATAAATCAACTCTTGATGTTTATTACTTGCCAAATACTTGACACAGTTTTTCTTTATCTTATATAAGTACGAAGAGTCGAGTTGTCCCACTGACTTACAATTGAAGGACGTATGTCCAAAACATCATAACTTTAAAACTAATGACAGCTTCAGATATTTTGTTTCATTTATTTTCTTGGGGCTACTTCACTCATTCCATGAACTGACAACGTCTCGTTCATCACATGCGTCAATTTTTAAGATGAAGCTAAAAACATACTGCGTGTTACGTCAAAGTCTCAAGAAAAAGAGTATTCAAACCAAAGAGAGAAAGTTTACCAACTTAAGATCACGAGGATCCTGTCTGCCAACTCGTTCTTGGCCACACACCTGGGCATTCATTTTCCCTATCTGTATATCAATTGGGTCGACTGGAATAATGAAGAATGTTGAATGATTCAAGGTTTCAATACCAACGCCAACCATTTGTTCGACCTGGCAAAGCAAATGACGCCAGCTAAACACCCCAACACTCTACCCTACTGAACTACATACCGTCATCAAATACAAATGTTCTAATCAGTAAGAATTTAGCTTTAGCCTTACTCAGTGACATTTGTACGACTTAACAAATCAAATGACGCCATCTAGATACTCCAACACTGTGCCCTACTGCACAACAACCCCTCATTAAATACAAATGATCAGTAACAATTCACCTTTAACCTTAAGCTTACAGCTCACTCCAATAAAATCAGCAGCTCAAAAACTCATGGAAAAATCGTCAGTTCGTGTGACGGGGCTTTATAATTAGTACAAATGTACGCAAAATATTTCTTTTGAAACATCCTTCGTAATGTAGCAAAAATCTTATTAAAATCTTACAAATCTGTACAAAAAACGTTAATGATCCTTAACCACTTTCGTTCAACACGAACAAATCTTTCTTTTTATCAACTCAAAACCTACTATTTCTTACAATCAGACAAAAATATCCACAACTGAATCGAATGTCATTTCATATCCCTTTTTCTGTCTTAAAGGGATTGTAAAGAGGTTTTCTAAATTTTTTATGTGTATTGGGGACACTGATGGCATCAATTTGTACCATTCCAATTTTCAATCAGACGTCTGTGGTTCCTGCAATTGCACCAAAACTAAGTGTTTGGTGGCATCACTAATCAGAAAGGCATAATGCATTATGTGATTCAAGCATGTTATTGCAATTAGTGACGTCATCAATCAGTTAGATTTAGTGGCATTGCAGGAACGTGTAATAGGAAATTGGAATGGTGCAAATCGATGCTATTTGTGTAGTATATAAAAATTTAGAAAACGTCTTTATCAACCCATTGAGGAGAAATGGTCGTTTATTACTACTGTTTTAGATTTGTCAGAGTTACTTTTTCAGATCCAAGTCTCACGTTCAGTTTGTCTACAAATAGATAAATACGAAGTATCTATTTTCTTGGATCTCAAAATAATTAGCCAAGATCTATCTTAGACTTCTGGTTTTTACTTGACATTTAGATATTTCTATTATAGCCTAAATTTAGATTCTTAAAACTCATCAAAACGAACTAAGTATCGATTTTTCTTGAAATAACACGACCTACCAAAGTGAATTACATAAAAAAATATCATAAAAATCGAATTAACATTTGAAAAAATTATTCTTTCGAGATCAAAATTTTTTTATTTAGTTGATATGTTTAGTACTTTGCAAAAATGAAATACAATACGATTGAATTTGATGTCCCATCGACACGCAAGCAATCTGATTAACATTTGGAAAGTATCGTCTTGTAAGTGAGCAAGGTTTTTTGCTATACAGCTTTTTTTAATTTGTTGAATTGTTTAAGATGGGTTTCCTTATTTTTTATTGTCAAATCAAGCAAACTATTTGATTATTTGGTTTTATAATGAATTATCATGTATTCTTAATCATATCATTATGTTGTTATTGCATATAATTAAGAGTTTTAACCAATCATAAATATCCATGTATGTACAGTCTGGATAAACAAAAAAATACTTTTTGACCTTTCTTGATCGGTCACTCATTGAAATTCTGCTGGTAATTCTCTTCTAATTTAGCTAATTATGAATTAATTTGGACAGGTGAGACAAACTGGTATTTTCCAAAGTCATTAGAACACCTCTACTTTCTATTCATATAAGTATTAGCATTTTCATTTTCATAAATGAATATTAAGGGAATCCATTTTTAATATTTTGCAATAATGAAATAAAATTAGCTAAAACCACCAAAAGAAATACTATCAAAAATGTTCTTCTTTACGTCTTTAGTTTTGCCAAAAATGGAATGGAGTTTTACGTCCGATTTCTGCACATTAAATTAACATTTGAAAATTATTTTGATTTTGTTACGTTTTTTGACTATATGTGCAGCAAGTTCGAATCCTCTCGATCTGTCAAAACTTCTCCACTACTCAGATCAAACTGTGTGCATATCTTTACACACGCTACATGTAACAAGTTTTACTGGCGAATCTTGACGACATTTGTCAAATTTTTCAGAGGCCTGACGACTCATGGGCCCATAAACAAAATTGGGTGCACACTACAAATATCTGTATCACTATGCTTGCATGCAGTAATCACCGATTTCTCGTGTGTTTTGGTTAAATTTATGTTGTCCTCGAGGCAAAAGTGTATTCCGATTTTTTTTCAAAATTAGTCCGAAACTTACTTACGTCTCTGGCCTCTGATAGAAATCAACGAGGTCGACCAGATGAAAATCTTCCACGAAGTATATAGTCCAAAGCTCTTCAGAAGGTGCAAAGGATCAAAACGATTGAAAATCTATAAAATACAAAATTTCAAATAGTAATTAAAGGGCTTGTAAAGAGTTTTTTCTAGTCTTTGTAAGTAGAAATATGACGTCACTAGTCTTGGGTGGCATTTGATAGTGACGTCATAATCTAGTCATGAATTTTAATTGCCGGATTCTCAAAATTCGATTGGTGCAGTGCAAGTGGAAGCTACAAGTGTCCCCAATACTTATACACAGACTAGACAATCTATAACTCTACTTTCGGACTACACGATTATGTGTTTGTTTACAAAATGGCTTGACATTTTAATTTCCAACTTTGTAATATTTTTATGTTTAAGTTTATGATTTTCAAGATTTATAACGACCTTAAGAGGTTGGCGGTGTAAACAAAAACAGTCTAGCTCTAAACTGTGGTCTAATATTTTTGATTGCCCGGGGTACACCGTAACTATTCATTATATCGGATCATTTGATATATAATACAGTAAGCTTTTGAGAGTGACATCAAGAGCCTATATTAATATATCGTTCTTCGACTCACATAAAACCCTTTAATCTTCGTGTTTTGCTATTTACAAACACTGACATCAAGTGGTTGGAATTTGATTGCAGACGGATCGTATGTCAGGTTTACATTTTAAAAGTGATAGAGTTGGATGAAATTATGTTCTTTCTATGTTGCCATGAAATTTGGATTCCTAATCCACCTCCTCTCGTCAAAAACATTTTTTGCCGGTGTTGCTTTGCGAAAAAAGAAGTCCACCTAACGTATGATGCTTAAAGTTTAAAAATATCATGGTTGGTCTCATTTCGCCGCAAGCTTTGACTTAAATCATATGGTTATGAATTGGTTACTTATACTGACATAATCTAATTTTAGATCTTAGACTACTGATCCCTGTCTATCTTCTCCCAAATCAAATCACCTTCGATCTGCATCATTGCTTCGTCAAGGGGAAACTTTTACTTAAACTTTGAACTTTGAAAGACGAGATAATGATCAAAAACGCACAAATTGTTCACGAAATTGTCTACAAATATCGATGAAAAAAATTACCAATAAACATAAATAACTATGTGAACTTTCTGAAAGATGTTGAGTTGATAATCCCAGTTGTTAAGTGGTATGGTGTGTTTTGGAAGGGTCAGCAAGTTCTGTCTCTCAGAAGCGGTTAGGAAACATGAATCAGTACAATTGAGCATAATTCTGACCCATGTAAAATAAAGAGTTTATTATTATTAAACCAGCCTTACATGACACGGTTTGATTGGTTAAAAAATAACGTCATTAGAACGATACTGTACAAGAAAATTTGATAGATTTCAACGGAGACGAAAATATCAGAGAGAAGTCAAAAACGAAATTTTAATTAAATTTTAATTAGATTGGCTCGAAGTATGTTGTCTATCAATTAAATTTTTCTCTGTCAAAACTCGTCCTAGCGAGTATCCCGCATCGCGTCTTTGATGCAGCGTCAGTCACAAGGTGTTTCAATTAACCTACAGTTTATTAATAGATACAAAAAGGTGTATTTTATGATCATATCTGCATATTAATGTAATTTCTTTTCAAATAAAATTGTACCTTTACAATAGAAAGTCGTTTCAAGGAGGTTTGTACAAAACGTAGGTACACTACCGCTATACTTGAAGATGTATTTGAGTCATGCAAGCAAATACCAGCCCCACATCACAACAGGTGTATCAAAAACTACTTGACTGGTTATTTGAACTGAATCCAAATGTAAATGAAATGAAATGAATGGAGTTTTGCATCCTACTCTTCTGCACCTAATTATGCTAGGTGCAACGGACAACGCCATGCAGTGTACAATGAGGGAAAATTTGCCAGAACAGCGGCATTAGCCTGCTCTTTGTCGAGTAGTCTTTAAGGTGCACAGCCTGTAGCACACGGGGCCTCGGTTATTGTCCCGAACGACTAGACGCTTTTTCCATGTCAGCCCCTTACACTCTAAAAAAAAATGGGGGGGGGGGGGAAATTCAATATTAACCACAAAATATCATTTTCTCTATCTTATAAAATTCACGTGGCACACAATACGAACGCCTGAATCCCTTTTTAAATATAAGAAAGAAACATCTTGTGCAAACAATATAATCATACGAGACGAAATGAACTTCATAATATATTGAAGGTTTAATCAAACATTGAAATGAAACACTTATTCACATTTCCCATCATGAATAACTGTCCCATTTTCATAGTTAAAGGGGGTAGATTTCTGAGTCAGCTTTCCATTATATTACTCTCGGTTCGTCTGTAATCACATAAAGACAGACTATAACCAAGTGACAAACTTAATTTCGTATATATAGGGCTGTGACCAAACAAAACGCATATATTAATGGACACTGGGAAAAAGAATTTCTGTTTTATCAAGCAGTTTTAAATCAGCAATCTACTTGTTAAAACTAAACAGATAAGGCAAAGACGTTTCTAAAGGGAACTTAGTTTTAGTGGAATTGCAGGAACCACAGACGGACGTCTAATTGAAAATTGGAATAGTGAGAAAATAATGATGACATCAGTGTCCCAGATTCACATAGAAAATTTAGAAAACCTTTTTTTCAGTCTCTTTAAGTTGTATTTACTGTGATAGTAGAGAAATTTGAAGTATGTAATGCTATGTCTTTAAGGGTTATCATAACCTTTCATAACTCAACATCTTCTTAAGTTCCTACCCATTGTCAATATAGACATATCTCATTATATTGATGAACATTTCACTATTTGTTTTTCAGATAACTAGGTCTGGAATGGGATTTGAGTTGGGGAAGTGGAGGGAAGTGGAGGG